ATCTATATTTCTGGCAGTCCCTACGAGATTAAAACATTTTAAATGATACTCTTGAAAAATGATTAAAATCTACTTAAATTACCAAATTGATTTTAAAACTAAAGAACCTTTTTTTTATGATATAAAATAACATATAAATTTAAATGGAACTATTAATTTCTAAAAAAATAGTTCATCGCCCAACAAAAAAATAGTAGCTTTTATCTCATAAATGCAAAATTTAAGGAGCTTAGTTCCCTTATATATACATTTAAAATACAGTAGGTGATAATTTAGTATTTTAGGTTCAATTAAAATTACAATAAAATTTTAATGGGTTCAAATTTTATCTTTCCCGTCTTTTAAAAATACTTTTAAATAGTAATATATATATTTTTTCATTTTTAGGAGGCCTAACCTCTCCTTAATGTTTGTTATGACATATGTAGAAAAAGTCCTATTAGACTCCTACATTTGAATTTAAGGTGTACTCATGGAAAATATTGGTGACAGACTTCCCATATTAACACAGTCACTACCTCCACAAAAAAAATAACTATTTAATGATAACTATACTTCTTGTTTCAATCATATCTATGCATCTAAATAAAGAATTTATAAGAACACAAAGAGAATAGTTACACTTAAATCAATGATTTTTTAATTCAGCACTTCTTGCTAATATACCAAAAAACAGAGATGTTTTAGCATATTTCAAATTTATTTTAAATTTATAATATTGATATTTTAATAAAAAATTAAGATTTACATGAAAGATATATAATTTTATACATAAAATTATTATACATTTATATCATTAAAATAATATTGTAATATATACTGGTTATACAAATAAAAAAATGATTAATTGTACAAAAATAAAAAAAATGTTTATTTTTGAAAACACTTTATTAAAATTTTATTTTTTATTCTAAAAATATCAACATCATCAAAATAAAAAAATATAAGAACATTTAATATATTACTAAAATTAATGGACGGATAATGTGTACTTAAGTAATCTTACATAATATATAGTAACTATAAACTAATTTGGCGTAAAAAGTGTAGTTAATTTTTTTATAATTAATAATACTGAACATTTTTTTTTATTATAAACCTAAAAAATATGAAAATTTATATAAAAGTTGTTTTATTAAATTATTATGTCATAAAAAATGTATTTTTTGGTATTATAGCAGTCTCTTAAAATAAAACAAAGTTGTTACTGGTAAAAAAGAAAATAATGATATAGACATCAAAGATGCACTATTGCAACCATCTCTTGTATTACATGTACAATACTCAGTAAAAATATTATTTGTGCCAGTTCTCATCAAACAATAACGTTCATCATTGCCTATTCCTGGTTCTCCCAAAAAAGCACAGCTTCTATAATACCGCCACTTTCCATAAACTGTAATATAACTTTAGTGAGTTAAAATATTCATCATCATGGTTATTAAATATTGTAAAATGATAGAACAAAAAAAAAACATGATAATTTAAGAGAGTTTTAAATATATAAAACTATTACTCACCCTGATAGCATTTAAAAAATAATATTATATTAATATTTTTTATAACGTTATTGTAACATGTAATTTTATATTAATCATATTAAAATGTATTTATAACATTTTATTTTTAATTTTCAATTTGGGTAATAGTTATGGACAAAAAAAAAAAAAGAATACATAGTATTAATGATAATTTTTCATTTTTTAAATATTTATGTTAGTAAAAATATATATTATATTTTATTAATTATCAAGTATCATAGGGTGTACCTTCATCAAAAAAGGTATAATTACTGGTATATTTTAAACTATTTTATCAAAAAAAACAGGTGTTGGATTTTAAAATAAATAATTTATATTTTTTCAAAAAATTTAATTTTTACTCAATTGTGAAAGTTACTACAATTAATTTAATTAGGGTGCCAATAACTAAGTATTGAATTTATACAAATTCTGAAAGCATAATTCGAATTCAAATAAAATTTTGATTTATAAAATCTAGAAAGAAAAATTCTTTCTATTTTAAATAAATTAAATAAATATAGTGATTAAAACTTAGGTAATCTACTTAAGGTGCTTACAACTATACACTTTACCATATATAATATGTAGCAAAAATAAAACCAGACATTTTGTTAAATAAATAACATTATAGAAAAATATTTATTAAGAGTACATTATTTATCATTAATTTCTACCAATTAAAAAGTTTTATCACCTTTTTGACGAATTTTACGACACATGGTACCTCGTAAATTTGGATAAGTGTCAAGTCGCACCTGTTTACAATCTACCATAGGCATTGAGTGATTATTGAATGGATCAGAACATTTTGAATCATGAAGTGAATCACAGGTCCAACACATTAAACCTGACACTAATATTATACAGTAATCAACATTTAACAGCTCAATTAAGATTTTATAAATTGTTTGGGAAAAATGTATAATAATTTGATAAAAATTACCAGAATAAAGACTGAATAAAACCAAGAAGGAGACACATAGTAAATTGAAGCATGAAGACATAATGAACAGACTATAATGAACGAGATTACTAAAATATATATCAAAGAAATATTACATAGCTAGTATTATTTTTTAATTCAACACAATAACACGCCCAAAATATTTGTCGGTTGTACGTTTGTTGTTAGTATTAAGTGTTATCAATGTTAATTCGCTGTTTTAAAGTGATTTCATTAATCAACAAGTGGTAGTAATGTTTACACTATGTTGGTAAGTGGTAACCTCAAGGAACTTCTTTATGCAACTGGTTTTTTAACATTATATATATATATATTAGTGTTGTGTTGAATGCAAATAAAAAAAGTCATTATATGTACCATATTATTAAATAATAAAAGAGCTTATTAATAAAGTGAAATATACTGTTACATAAAGAAAAAATGTTATATGAAATGATCTTCTAATATCTTAGAATAGAATACCAAAAGATGCATTTGCTTATTCTTTTTTAATATCTAATTTTTACTTAAAAGACTCGGGAACAAAATTTTATTAATTCATAGATTAATATAACCATTGTGGACACACTATTCATAAATAATTTTTTTTACATTTAATTGAAGAGTAAGATGTGTTGTTACTAGAGGTATAGTTGTAGGCAGGGGCTTATAGTAATTTAATCACCCTTAAAACTTAATTATCCTACTCTACTATTTAATATTAACCAAACCTATTACAAACTTCAGCATGTACTTTAGATTAAATAAAATTTATAAATACATAAAGACCTTAATTGATGTTTTTTATTAAAATGAATGAATCATAATCTTTTAAATTAAAGAAAAAAAAATTACATAATTATGCATTAAAATATTCTATTTTAAATATACATACATTAATAACAGCAAAACATTAAATTTATATGTTACCTATGATAACATTGTTATTTAAGCATTATAAAACAATATTTTACTTTTAAATTTGACTTTAAGAAAATATGCAATAATAAAATAGTATATAGTTAATTATTTTAAATAAATATTTGTTAAAATTAATCAGTGGTAACTGGTATGTAACAATTAGAATCATACTTAGAACATATAATTATATTATACAAATTAATTATTTTAAAGTAAATTTTAAAAAGAACAAAAAAATATCACATATTTAAAGTCATAATACTTATTATAAATCCTTTTTTTTTTCAATAATTTTCAGAAGCTACTTCAGTATAATCAAAATCCCACGAATAAGCAAGTAAATCGAGATCACTAAGTTGTTGAGAAATTCCACTAACAGAAGCTAAATCATCACTTATTTCTGTAACATTGCTTTTTAACAGTGGTACAGCAGGTCTTAATAAATCTGTCACTTTAAAATTAAATTTTTTAACCTGTATAAAATGAAAAATTATTTTTGTAAAATATAATTTTATTATAATTAAATAGTTTCAGTATCTTTTTTGTTTAATTTTCTATTTTTATATCTATCAAGAAATTTATTAATTATTCAAAAACCTTAAAATAATAAAACAGGGATCAGCAATTCAATTTTAATATAATATATAATTCCAAAAAAAAAGTTTTAGGATCAAAAAGAGAATAGTTGTTGTTATAAATTTATGAATATATCAGCATTTAAAATATTGGTTTTCATTTAAAAAATGAATGTTGGTATCTTTTTATAGCAATAGGATATTGCTATAATAATTACACTATAATCCATGTTTAGAAAAGTTTTTCCTAAAAAAAAAAGTAAGACTTTAACTACCTCTTTATACAGAGTGATATCTTTTATGATGAACTACTCAATAAATCAAAATATTATTAATAATTTTTATTTCTTTTGGTAACATGATTTTTTAATTTATAAGTCATGATGCATTATTTATGTTCATCCTTTATATCTTAAAAGAGTGTCAACTTTATTTTTCAAATAAAATAACTAGTTAATTATTAAATAGTTATTTTTATTAGATAATGATGTAATTAAGAAATTGATTAGTTAACAAATATATTTGTAAAGTAATAAGTTATTATCAAAGTAGAATTGGAAGTGCTTTTATTTTTATCACTCCTCCATCTGGCTAGGTATAAAAATGTTAAGAACTTTTGAAATATTGACCAATTAGTCATTTTCTTAATTAATGTTTAAATTTAATATTTTTTTAATTAAAATTTACACGTTAAATATGTAACCAAAAGAAATAAAAATTATAAATATTATTTTTTGTTTTGTTGAGATTATGTTCATAATAAAAATTGCCCTTTATTTTATGTAGTCATATAATATATAAATTACTAATTTCAATTAATTAAAGACCTTTTTTAATTGATAAATCTTACAATTCTTAAAAAAATTAAGCATCTATTTTTACTTCTAATATTTCTAAAGTGGGTTACAAAAATCATATATTTGCCAATTTCAATAAAAACTATTCAGTTTTTTTTCAAAGTAATTTTCAAACACACTGATATCTTTAGAAGATTGTCAACTTACATGATAGTTAAATAAAACAAATTAAGAAACTTTGTATTTTTATTAAAATTTATTTAAAAAATAATGTATATCATACTTGCTTAGTAAAGTTATGAGCTAATAGTTCTGTTGCAGAAGGTCTGGTGTCTGATACTTTTTGACAACATTGTTCGACAAGATTATGAAATGATTCACTAAACATTCTAGTATAAACACTACTAACTGGATTGGAGTCTATACCAATTGCTTCTTCTGATTGATAGCCATTATCTTCATATGGATAACAAGTAGTGCAATCAAGCAAGTGAGGAATAAGTCCTTTCACTTTTTGGGTAAGCATTAATGTGGTATCAGTTTCAGCAAAAGGTACAAATCCATTAGCTAATTCACAAGCTGTAATTCCCAAACTATAAATATCCGATTTTTCATTATATCCCAAAAGGTTTTGTTCAAGCATTTCTGGGCTAAACCAATTTAAGTTATTTGCTGATTGCAGTGGCAGCGAATGTAAGTTTGATCGTTTATCTATTGAACATATGTTACGTAAGCCAGATAAACATGCATGTCCATCAGCTCGAATTAGTATATGGCTAGCTTTAATAGCTCTAAAAGGAATAAATACAACAATACTTTTATTTAAATAAATTAATAAAAATTAATCTACCTGTGTATAAGTCCTTTATTATGGATATATTCAAGTCCCAGAATAACATCTCGTAAAATAAATGCAATAACAGTTTCTGGAAGACCTTCAATAAAATGATTTCGTAGTAAATCACGACAGGAACCATATCCCATTAAAGGAAATACAACATACAACTGGCTTTTTTCCAGAAATGAGGTTATATAAGGAATTATATTAGAATGCATTAGTTGTCTAGTATTGTAAACTTCATCTTGAATTAGCTGACAATCAATTTTAGACATAGTATCCAAGTTAAAATTTTTCAAAGCCACCAAATTTCCACTATTATTATGTTTACCAAGAAATACAACAGCGCGATCTGAAAAACATGATCCCAGCACTGAACACATGGTATATTGTTTTAAGTCCGGTTCAAAATTCATGCTTAATATTTGTTTATAAAATAAATGAAATAATAACTTATAAATATTAGTCAAAGCGATTTACTTTTGTAATAAACTTAAAATTACATGATACTAAATAAATAAAAATAGCACAGAGTGTGTAAAATTTAGAAAATTATTAAATGAATAAATTATATTTTAAAAATTGAAAAAGTACCATAATTAAATTAAAATTTTAAAATACAGCAAACCTAGTAAAACCTTAACAGGTGATAGCTATTGATACTGAAATTATTAGTTTACATGTAAGTTTATATTTTAGTTTATCAGATGTGTAATTTTTTATCAAAAACAAAATTGGAAAGTGTACTAGTTTCACCAAAATGTACACAAAATCCAATTATATATTTAATACAATTACCAAATAAACAGACAAATTTACTATAAATTGCTCATAATATAATTCAATATAAATAAAATCATGTATTTTATAATTAGTAACAATATTTAAAAATAATTGATATTATAAGATATTTGATCCACAAGAGGACGTAGTGTCGTTTAGTCATTAGTCTTGCTGTACATTTTAGCTTCGAAGCGAAGCTGAAAAGGTATTACTTTTACTATGATGTGTTTATTTTTTTGTGGCTATCACTACTTTTTCTCAGCTATCACTGGACCGATTTTTTTCAACAATACGACAAAAGATCACAAATCGTATCTAGTTTAAGACAGTACCCTCAAAAATTAAAAATGTTCCCTTGTTCTTCATAAATGATGAAAATCCCCCCATAAATTACGATTTTTAAAATCGTTAAATTTTGACATTTTTTTTCAAAAAATTGCCATAACTAATTGGAAAATAATCAAATCAAAAATATTTATTTTTATATTGAAACCTTAAATAATTTCCTTTCATCCGACACACTTTTTTTTTAAATCAGGTATTTTCCCCTTATACAGAGGGTTCAAAACTTGAAATATACGTATGAAAAGTAGAACTTTTTCAACATAACTTTTAAAAATGTTCCGGAAATACTGTATTCTTTAAACATATGTCAAATTAAAGCTTATGTTACTTACTATAAATTAAAAAAAAAATTTCGGCTGTCGTTAAAAAACATGGTATTTTTGTGTTCAAATTGTATTTTTGTTTATTTATTTTCGAATACTTTATAAGAGTTTGGCATATTAATGAGTCCATCAATAAATTTAAAATTTACATGAATCTATCTTACATTAAATATAAATTTATACTTATTTTAATTATTTTGGCTCTTTTAAGTTAAGAAAAGCTTTTTTGAATTTTTGAAAACTTGTATAAAATGTAGTTACTTTTTCAACTTTTTAAAATTTTCCACAAATACTGCGTCTTATAAATATATGTTAAAATAAAGCTTATTTTATGTACTAGAAGTTAAAAAATAAAAATTTGTACTGACGACCTATTTTCTATGTGCAAATGGCAGCCAAGCAGAACAAAAAATAGGAGTTATTTTTGCTTTTGGAATAATCTACCAATTTCTTAAAAATAAACACTATCTACAAATTTGCATTGAAGCGTTTCTTATGATAGTGATAAAAATCACTGTCAGATATCTAAACTTGTCCCAACTATGCCACGACTCCACTATGCTACTGTTTTTTTAAATAACATTGAGCACATAAAAAAATTATTTTATCTTAATACTATACCCTTTACTTAAAAATTAAACATCGTGAAATTACTTTTTCTCCACGTTCTTAAATTCTGAAAAATTTCAACAATCACAAGCCATAAAGTAAATGACAAAATAAAGACAAGATGATCAATTATATCACTATTTTAGTTATTAGTTACGGCTTAAGTATACATTTTTTAAAAATTTTGATTTATGATCACTATTTGTCTGTTCTATTCTGTCTTATTATAGAATGTNTAAAACATGATCCCAGCACTGAACACATGGTATATTGTTTTAAGTCCGGTTCAAAATTCATGCTTAATATTTGTTTATAAAATAAATGAAATAATAACTTATAAATATTAGTCAAAGCGATTTACTTTTGTAATAAACTTAAAATTACATGATACTAAATAAATAAAAATAGCACAGAGTGTGTAAAATTTAGAAAATTATTAAATGAATAAATTATATTTTAAAAATTGAAAAAGTACCATAATTAAATTAAAATTTTAAAATACAGCAAACCTAGTAAAACCTTAACAGGTGATAGCTATTGATACTGAAATTATTAGTTTACATGTAAGTTTATATTTTAGTTTATCAGATGTGTAATTTTTTATCAAAAACAAAATTGGAAAGTGTACTAGTTTCACCAAAATGTACACAAAATCCAATTATATATTTAATACAATTACCAAATAAACAGACAAATTTACTATAAATTGCTCATAATATAATTCAATATAAATAAAATCATGTATTTTATAATTAGTAACAATATTTAAAAATAATTGATATTATAAGATATTTGATCCACAAGAGGACGTAGTGTCGTTTAGTCATTAGTCTTGCTGTACATTTTAGCTTCGAAGCGAAGCTGAAAAGGTATTACTTTTACTATGATGTGTTTATTTTTTTGTGGCTATCACTACTTTTTCTCAGCTATCACTGGACCGATTTTTTTCAACAATACGACAAAAGATCACAAATCGTATCTAATTTAAGACAGTACCCTCAAAAATTAAAAATGTTCCCTTGTTCTTCATAAATGATGAAAATCCCCCCATAAATTACGATTTTTAAAATCGTTAAATTTTGACATTTTTTTTCAAAAAATTGCCATAACTAATTGGAAAATAAACAAATCAAAAATATTTATTTTTATATTGAAACCTTAAATAATTTCCTTTCATCCGACACACTTTTTTTTTAAATCAGGTATTTTCCCCTTATACAGAGGGTTCAAAACTTGAAATATACGTATGAAAAGTAGAACTTTTTCAACATAACTTTTAAAAATGTTCCGGAAATACTGTATTCTTTAAACATATGTCAAATTAAAGCTTATGTTACTTACTATAAATTAAAAAAAAAATTTCGGCTGTCGTTAAAAAACATGGTATTTTTGTGTTCAAATTGTATTTTTGTTTATTTATTTTCGAATACTTTATAAGAGTTTGGCATATTAATGAGTCCATCAATAAATTTAAAATTTACATGAATCTATCTTACATTAAATATAAATTTATACTTATTTTAATTATTTTGGCTCTTTTAAGTTAAGAAAAGCTTTTTTGAATTTTTGAAAACTTGTATAAAATGTAGTTACTTTTTCAACTTTTTAAAATTTTCCACAAATACTGCGTCTTTTAAATATATGTTAAAATAAAGCTTATTTTATGTACTAGAAGTTAAAAAATAAAAATTTGTACTGACGACCTATTTTCTATGCAAATGGCAGCCAAGCAGAACAAAAAATAGGAGTTATTTTTGCTTTTGGAATAATCTACCAATTTCTTAAAAATAAACACTATCTACAAATTTGCATTGAAGCGTTTCTTATGATAGTGATAAAAATCACTGTCAGATATCTAAACTTGTCCCAACTATGCCACGACTCCACTATGCTACTGTTTTTTTAAATAACATTGAGCACATAAAAAAATTATTTTATCTTAATACTATACCCTTTACTTAAAAATTAAACATCGTGAAATTACTTTTTCTCCACGTTCTTAAATTCTGAAAAATTTCAACAATCACAAGCCATAAAGTAAATGACAAAATAAAGACAAGATGATCAATTATATCACTATTTTAGTTATTAGTTACGGCTTAAGTATACATTTTTTAAAAATTTTGATTTATGATCACTATTTGTCTGTTCTATTCTGTCTTATTATAGAATGTAAACACTAAATTGCCTTTTGCTTTTTATTGCGTTAATGAAGTTGCTAGTTATCATTGAGGGTGTTTCTACACAATGCACTTGAAATTATTGGATTCTACTTCCCTCTCATCTATTGAAAAAAAAACCGATCATAAAGTGCAATAAATAATGTTCTTGGTATTAGTAACGTTATAGCGTATTTCTGATTGAGTCATCTGTTTGGTTTTCGGATACAAAGGGGATTTTGATGAATGGTAGTTGATCTTTATCAAACAACATTTATATTTGTTTTAATGTAACTTATGTTGTCTATATTTACATATATTCGTTCAATAATTGTTGTGCTATTATTTAGAAAGATTGCTTTATAATTTTTCGATTAATTATTGATTAATTATACGATAGAAATTGTGTAAAGGGTGTTTATATGATTAAATATAAATAAAACAATTCAAGACAATCCTTCGGATGTTTCAATGTCTAGAACATCAGTCCATAGTTTGCCGAAAATTAAACGTATAATGTGAGTAGGTTCGAACAATGATGTTCTATCTCAAAAAAAATCTTAAGTCTAAATATGTTACTTAATATCCAAGGTTCATTGTTCGCCTATTATATCGCACTGTAAGTACTCTGTATAATAAATCAAAATATAACATACTAATCATGGAACGAATTTATAATTTTTTGTTTTTGATAAATAGTATTATTTAGTGTTACGGATTTAATTTAACGACATAATATGCATTGCATTGCAACAGGCGTTATTGTTATCATAAGAAAACATGTTAATTAACAGGTATAAATATGGAACTCTAAATTTGTTATATTATGTGATTACATTGGAGTACTCACAATGTGATATTATATCCACACTCGTGCCATTCATAGTACAATGATTGAAGATAGTGGTTTACAATTATAATCACTGAAACTTAAAGGTTCTCTGCGCTTTATAAGACATTTTATTAAAATTTTATTTAAAAACTACTATTTGTCGTTTTTTTAACCTTTCAAATGAATACGCTTTGGCTTATATAGGGTGGCCCACCACTCACTGACAACTTAAATAACTTTTTATCCAGTTAATATTTTTAGTTGATTTTTTTTTTAAATAATAGTTATACGTTAGGTCTATAGCTATATCTCAATAATTACTTTTTTTACATTTTATTAAAAATATTAATTATTTTTAAATTTTAAATAAAATGTAAAAAAAAAAATCTAAGATAGCTATTTTGTAGAGTAGAATTTAAGAAAAATTTTAGTAAAAAAATATCTTATTAATATTCAGTAGTAAATATTCTGTAGCGTTTTGAAGTTTGTGAAAATTTGAATTTTCATGTACTATTTTACGGTATTAAACATTGAAAT